TGTGTATGATTGCATGTATATGCTTTTAATTGTATGTACATGTGTCTGATATTTTTTCTTTGACGTTGATTTCTCGATTTCCTGTGTCGTCCGTATTTTTGCGTGTTTATATATCTGAATATATTTATATGTTTGTGTATTATGATGTGATTGTGTGTGTCTTGTCATTTGTATAATGTCTTCCCCTACCCACATCATCAAAATTGAGATCCCTTCCATTGTATCTAAGTTGTTACGATGTTTGATCTTCTTAGATTAACATTAACTGAAAATTTGGCTTTTCGATTAAAACAATAAATAAATAATAAAATATGTGTATTTACTTCGAATAATTTTATAATATTTTAAACTTAATGCAGGTTAAATTTAAAATTTGTAATTTTAATTTTTTAACCTTATAGTAAATTTAAAAATTAATCAGAATGATTTCTAATTTAGTCCAATATTAACATTAAGGCGTCAATGAATTTTTTCCAAGGTTCGTTTTTGGTCATTGTAGCTTATGTAATAGCATTTCCCCTATTGAGGGGTATTTAGTTGATTTTGAACTTGTTAAAACTCTTTATTCTACAATCAACATCATCGCTTGACAAGACACTAGAAATGTTGAAACAAAATGACTATTTTTGAAGTGATGTTATAACATGTTTATGTTATAATTTTTGAATAAATACTACACACACACACACACACACACACATATATATATATATATATATATATATATATATATATATATATATATATATATTTTAAATAAAACAGACCACTTTAAGGTTCCATGTAATAAATTATTTCACCACAGCCCATTTAAAGGACTGCGGATCATCAGACTTTACTTCCAAAGGTTCTGATGATCCACAGTCCTTTTAAAAGGGCTGTGGTAAAATAATTTATTACATGGAACCTTAAAGTGGTTTGTCTTTATTTAAATTATTTGCTCTGGATTTACATTGAGCTCTCTGGATTTTATCCTCCTTGGGTCTACCCATACGGATTACTTAGTTTTTCATAAACTATATATATATATATAATATATATATATAATTGTATTATGTTCAGTAAATCATAAGAGTCATGGGGACGCTAAATGTACTGCAGCCATAGCAGCATGCAGTGTTTTTTCTAGAGCAAGATAGCCCGACGACGATCATCTGTCTGCAGGCTGTCTTTGAATTTCAAATTTTCCTTTTCCTAGAGTTTTTGCTGCAAAAAGGCTAAAGATCCTAGTCAGTCTGCTATTTCAAGGGTATTTATGTGAAAGTCAGCTTAAAGAAGTCTGCCGGAAACCGAACCTGTTTCGCTGAGTTCTCTTTCTGAGTCGCTAACCGCTACATTACCAGCACATCCACTTTAGTTGGCCACAGGACCTTAATAGAAGTGCTACCAATGAGGATCGTACCTACTATATCAGGAATGTTCTCTGAGATTAACTAAAACATTCAGGAGACTTAAAAGAGATTTGCTCTGCTTAATTTAGACCAGCCCAATTTATTAAGCTTATCTGAAAATGTACTTTTATATCTTCCTTGAAAGCATCAGGCCCAATCTGTGATTCACAAAAGCATAAGGTTTGGTATATCACAATCCACCAAGTTGCAAGCAATTTAGAAGCAAATCACCGCAGCAGCCTGGAAAAGAAAATCTGTGCGAAAATAAATAAATAAATAAATAAATAAATAAATAGCGCCCAAGCAGACAAGGTCGGGTATCGGCCTCACAAGTTATCAGCGCGTATGCATCAAATAAAACCAAACCGAACAGTTCTTCAAACTTATCTTCGATATCAATGCAACTGTTTAGAAGAAATGATATGCGAAATTTGACTTCAGCCAAACCCTTGACAACCATGACTGGAAAGATTGTGTTGTCCATATGTTAGATTAATTGCAAGAATTTTGCTATAGAAATTTGCTTTTTTTTTATCTGTGGCCATGTATAGAAAAGTATTGGTTAAGCAAATCGAATTGCATACAGGCCCTAACTTCAATGCCTGCGTCTGCTAGAACAAAACAGGTCATATACTTTGTTTCAGCGGAAAAGACCAACAATGTTGCAAGGAAGGTCTAATGTGATAATATCAGCGTACGTGTTATCTCCCCTATCAAAGCCAGCAGTTACTGATTGATTTGGTTTTTTTTTCGGTTTATCAACAGCCAAAATATATTTTGAATTGTAAGAATAATTCTTATTTTCGTGAGGGAATATTATATTGACATTATTTTTGAGAATAACAATAATTTTTTATATACAAGAGCCACTATTTAACCCTGATCTGAGGAGGGAATCATACCTTAGCCATGCGCATTTATTCAGAAATGAATGTAGCGAACACGATTGACATTTAAACTCCCCGATTTCTCATTCCGTTGTCTCTGAGCTCGGAATGAGAAGAATCTCCACTCGTAGATTGAATAAAAAGTTTGATTCAAAATTTGAGCGCGTGTGTGTCAAGTGGGGGAATCTGAAAGATAAACAACTAGGCTGGCATCTCGGTCCCACCCTTTCAGTGTCAAAACTGTTAAATGTAGCTCTCTCTTCTATTCCAATAGCTTCATGTCTCGCACCCCCCCATCCGTAGAATTCCCTTCCTATTACTTGTTTCCCTGATAGCTATAATCTCCAACTATTCAAATGTAATGTCAATCATCATCTTCAGATGCCTTGATTTATTCCTTGCCCATATCTTCATTCTTTCATCTATCACGCGACTTTACTCTCGCTCCCAATCTCTGTAACCCCTTGCGTGCTTGTGGCATACCGCCTTGCTTGGGGTGAAATGCTTAAATATATATATATATATATATATATATATATATATATATATATATATATATATATATATATATATGTGTGTGTGTGTGTGTGTGTGTGTGTATGTGTATATATATCAGTTTATTTTTTCTGAGTTTAATGATCATTTGATAAACAAGAAACGGAAATGTATTATGTTTAGATTTCAGTCTTTATTCCATTCATCACAAGCTGAAAAGAATTGAAGATCTGATCAACTCCAACGAAGCGTTGTGCTACAAACAATAGGCTTTGCAAGTTGAATATTCGGGCTTCAAAATTTAGTAGACCTCTAGCCAAGGAGTATAAATTTTTTAACACTGTCAGAGGCCTTTCTTACACATGCTGTCATAATGCACTGTAGACTCTAACCAAACCTTCAGTAATTTTCCTTACATTCCATTTCAGAATAACACAATCTTAAGCCGCTGACTCGATGCTAGCATTGATTTATTTATAGATTTTGTCCGGCCAGGAAAGTAATGAGGTAGATAAGTAGAAAAAAATGTTCTGCAAGAAGTATCTGAAAAGGACGTTGTCGTCTTCATCAGTCAATTTAGTAATGGAATTTTAAATCTTAAGCTTCCGTTAAAAAAATACTTCACTAAACTGTCAAAGCACAGACATTATGAAGCTATAATATCGTTGTTGAGCGAATAATATTTATTTTTGGTTTGTAGAACTAATGCGCTGTTCAGTGGTGATTAGTAGGCAATATCCCTAGTTGTGACGAAAGTGTATGATCTGCACTGGTATCGCAATTTTGGGGTCCTGTGACAGGCAAAGTTAAAATTAGTATCTATCTATCTATCTATCTATCTATCTATCTATCTATCTATCTATCTATCTATTCCTGTTCATATCTATCTATCTATCTATCTATCTATCTATCTATCTATCTATCTATCTATCTATCTATCTCTTCCTGTTCATATCTATCTATCTATCTATCTATCTATCTATCTATCTATCTCTTCCTGTTCATATCTATCTATCTATCTATCTATCTATCTATCTATCTATCTATCTATCTATCTATTAGTAATAATATTAGTAACACAAATCAATTACGAGGAATTAAGCAGAAATTAGCGCGAGCAGATTTTTGTAGCATTTTCAATAAGTTGGAGTAGCAGTTAGCGGCTCGGGTTGAGGGATCGGCGAACCGAGTTCGAATTCCAATGGAGTTCGTCACATTCATTTGCGTGTAATCCATATTTTCTATCCCAAGTTGTGAATAAATAGCAGGGTAGACTGTAGCCTTGGGTGGCATTCGATCTAGGAGAATGACATCTTTGAATTTAAAACCTCTAACTATAAGTTAAATTGTCTTACAAGCCCGCAATTTCCCAGGCGTGGTGAATAAGTCTACACCTCTGAAAACACATGGTCTATCAAATAGCGGTTCCTCTAACAAGTGAGGGCGGGGTGGATCTAGACCATTTCTAATGAGATTTCCTCACTAGTACCGTTCTTTTTTTCAAGAAAAAATAAACTAAAGCAACAATTCAAAGTGCTTGTCTTTGCAACCGGCTTTAGGTTTTCCGTATAAACTAAACTGATCGTCATGGAAAGATAAATGAATCGAATATCATGTTTATATACGTTGCCCCCCTACCCACCACCCCAAACAAAAAAATAAAACACTCACAGATTCAAGTTTGAAAATTATTAAGAATCTATCTTTAGCGATTAAAGTTTGAAAATTGTTTATGGGTGGAGATTTTATGCAGCATATATAAATATGATATTTGTTAATGAATTTAATAGATTCATCTGACACTGTCAAGCGATTTAAAATCGGTCGCAAAGATAAGTATTTGAGCGTTTCATTTGCTGTTAAGTATTTTCCTAGTTATGAGAACGTGCAATAAGCAGCGTTCTCGGCATCGACCACGTGTAGAAATCTGTTTATTAACCACGATGAGACGTCCCTCCCGACAACTGCGGCGTATTTACTACCACCAATTGTTCTGCACGTACTTAACGGAAGCGACACCGCGGTTTTCCATCTCAGACGGAACTTGGGGAAGGCCTGAGTCCTGCATTAGATAAAATGGCTGACGATAAATAGCACACACAAATATATATATATATATATATATATATATATATATATATATATATATATATATATATATATATATATATATGTTTGAGCGCTTTTTGGCGTGTGTAGGTGTGAATTTGTATTTATTAACTTCAAGCTACCCCGGATGTCGCATCCGGTAGTTTTTGATTACCGGTAGATAAACATTTGGGATTTCCGGGCGTTTTATTGTGTAATCGTTTCGTTTTACAGTTACCTTCGTATAACTGGCCATGTGACAACACTTAGCTTTGTCGTCATCTGCTTGGTAAGTGTTCACTTTCGTCAGATAGGGATCTTCTTGATTGCAGACACTCACAGTGCAAGTAATTGAAGTGTCTCTATAGACTTTACGGCCTTCTCTTGTACGACCCTCGTATTCAAATATTAGTGGAAAGGCAATATAAAATAACGGTACTTTTTCAAAAATTTGTTAAGTCTTTTCTTCATAAGAGGGTATTCGAACGTTTCTCATCTCGTTTCATCGAGTAAGTTCCACTTGACCCACTTCTTCACGCGAACCATTGGCCTGTGGACACGGCTCCCAACAGGATGTTTCCCCGATCACTACAATCTGAAACTGTTTTAGGTCAGCGTTAACCGACATCTTCCACTCCTATACAAATATAAACCTCTACCTCGAGTGGTCCCCTGGCCTTGTAAAGGGTGAAACTCGCAGTAAATATAAATATATATATATATATATATATATATATATATGTAGAGAGAGAGAGAAAGAGAGAGAGAGAGAGTGTGTGTGTGCGTTATGGATAAGAGTTTGTAGTTCTGGGTGTTACGCTTTTGCGATCATCACACAAACAAGTGCCGTTCACATATAATATATACAGAAATTATATATATATATATATATATATATATATATATATATAATTTTTTCTATATCTATATGTTAAGAGAGCTTAATGGTATTGTAGCGTCTTTGTAGATATAAACCGTGTGGATAAAATCATAAACACTGCATCAGTCGGACCAAACGGTCTGATTATCGCTTAAGGCGTGAAACTCACGGTCGCTGTCCCGTGTTGATTTCTATATAGACCTACGTATAAGCTTTTAATTTCTCTCTCTCTCTCTCTCAATATATATATATATATATATATATATATATATATAAGTGTGTGTATGTATATGCATGTTTCATTAAAAAAAACTGATAATCGTAGTGCCTTGTCTGTTGCTTTTCATGTAGCATACATAAATGAAGGATCACTGTCTAAATTCACAATATATCTATCTATCTATCTATCTATCTATCTATCTATCTATATATATATATATATATATATATATATATATATATATGTGACCGAGCCTATTGAATTTTGAATTTTTTGAACAACATCCACCACAAGTAAACCAATACCGCATGAAAAAGCGGCAATCTCTTGCTCTTTTCTTTCCTGCTCTCTCTTTTTCACATACACATATAGATAGATAGATAGAGAGAGAGAGAGAGAGAGAGAGAGAGAGAGAGAGAGAGAGAGAGATTTAGACAGACAGAGAAAGAAGAAGTGAAACAGAAAGGCAGAGATATACAGACAGACTAGCTGTTTGAATTCGCACTGAGTTAAGTATATTTTATATATATTTTATATATGTTATAAGCATGTTTTTGCCGTTTATTTTTAGCTTGGTTTGAAATGGCTTATGTGTAATATGGATGTTTCTCATGTACAAAAAGGGGACAGTATTGGGTTACAATAATTATTGGCTTATCTAACGTTTCTCTAAAGGCTGAAGGCAACATTTCAAAACACAACAACATCAGAAACGGGCGCTTCCAGCATTATCACTGATCACTGCCTGGCATTTCTGCCTCACACCCAACAAGCAGGATATTCCACACCTCAACCACATCAGCAGGAAATTCTCCGAGGTCATGTAGTGGGAAAATTCGGGTCATAAGCGCCTCGTTTTAAATGGCCTCACGATTGGGTTGAGATCCGGCGATGTGGCTCGCCACTACATATATAATAATGCAATTCCTCATGGTGATCACATCAACCAATTAGAGAAACGGTAAAAATAGTCATTATTATCCTACTGGTATGAAGGACGAGTAATAATTCCAACAATAATGACCAGGTATTTTTTTTCCTGTTGCTGGTTACTATTTTCTTGAATGTTACTCCCACATCGTTGCGTTGAGAACATGCTAAACCTCCGCGTCTCCATACTTTTTGTCTAACATAGCTTTGGTATATAAGGATTTTGCACTCGTGAGTAAACAATACTGTGGGTCATTATTGCAATATCCACGTTTGATCCCACTTCAGGCGTGTTTGGTGATATCTGTCGTTACACGAAAAAAAAACAAAAAAAAAAACGCCTACCATACAGTCTAAAATATTAAACCCACTTGCGTATCGTTTGATAGGATAATCTCTTTTCCACTGACATCTCTCAGAATGTTTTTGTAACTGCTATTGCAATGGCATGCTGATATTACAGGACATAGATGCAAATGAAGTAATCGGTATTGTGGTAAGTAGCATGGGGAAAACCGAGAACATGGCAGTTCATGGACTGTTCGCATAGCGTGAGGTATGGAAGCATGCTGACGAATCCACTTTGGGTGTGCTCGTAGTGTCGTGTCTACCGGCAGGGGAAGTGGAGTCTCGAGATATGCAGTAGAAAAAACCTGACCAGATATTGCAACAATATTCAATACACGGACCAATCGTAGATTTATAAATTTAAAAGATGGAGTCCAACGAGAACAATTTTATGGCACGACACAATGAAACGACCTTCTTGACAGCAGACATAGAAAAATGATTCAATATAATTGATCCACTTCATGTCAGTAAAAAAAGCGAGACAAAGTAGGTGCAATCAGTGGCCCTCCTAAAGTTTAAAAATAAAGATATCATAAAAATGTATGAAAGTGACCTTTGCTGTTATTGTTTATATATATATATATATATATATATATATATATATATATATATATATATATATATATATATATATATGGGGGATTAGCTGACGCGTTTCGTCCTCTGTGGGACTTTATCAAAGAAAATGCATTTGCCTTGAGAAAATCCCAGAAAACGTGTCGGCTAAGGTCAGTTTTTCCTTTTGTTTTTATTCATATATATATATATATATATATATATATATATAAGTTTCGTTAAAGACAATTGACAAGGTACTGCAATTACGTGTATAAAAACTGTCCAAAAATTTTACATATCCATTTTAAATAATTGTGTCGATTTTATGTATGTATCTGAAGTAATAAGAATGTCTTATTTTACAAACACGGTCAGTTCATTTTGGCTGAATGAAATAAAAATAATTGTTTGTAGGGAAATTAAGGACCTACGTACATCAAATTGTCCTTGAATTGCGTGGCGGCAGAAGAATTATCGTTGAACTTTTAAAAGCGAACAACTTTGAATTCTTCTGTAGTGTATTTTTGCCTATCGCATCTACTCCTCCTTAACTATTGTGATGAAGATTCAATCAAGATCGCCCACCCGTTTAAATGCCGCCCGATGAATGCCAATTAAGCTAGTAATATATAAATCTACATACTTATTTGATCAAAATACATCATCGATAACTGTTAATAGATTAGTCGAAAGCGGCCGGAGCCACAGACACTTTTGGCAGTTGTTATAATATTCTATATCCTGAAAAAGAAATCACTTGAACGATACGAATGCTGGAAAAAATAATAAAAAAGCTTAATCGCAGTGCCTTGCGAGGCGGCTTCAATGAAACATATATATATATATATATATATATTAAGAAATGGACAAGGTCCGACAATTTATTTATTAAAGACATTTTTATGTTTAACGTTGTTATTTATAGATACAAGTATTTAAGCAAATGCTTTATTTGTGATAAACAGTATTAAATAACATTTACATGGGCCACAAAGATTGAAGTTTATGGAAGATTGAAGTTTAGAAGCAGTAAATTCGACCTTGTCTGCCGAAAGGTTCTTTGTGGCCAAGAGGTTAGGCACGTCAGCATAAATGACGGTTCCGTATAGGATGCAGGTTCGAATCCTGTCAAAGAACGAATATTTTCTATGAAAATTTCTCGGACATTCAGGCCGGTAAATGTTATTTAATACTGTTTATCATAAATAGAGCGTCTGCTTAAATACTTGTATCTATAAATAACAACGTTAAACATAAAAATGTCTTTAATAAATATATATATATTAGCTCCCATTTTGGTCACTTTGGGTGACGGAATAAACGAAAGTTGTGTTTGAAATCGGATATCTGCTTTCCTTTAGATTATCATTATTCTTAGCTAAACTATCTGTCTACTCCTTTGCAACTATAAACAGATTTTGCTTTTAGAGAGACAAAAGAACAACAGTTAGAAGTTTCACATTCTGCAGTAAAATGGCTTTCTTCATTTCTTAGTAGTTTTAGGAAAACAGATCATTTGTAGTTCATTGTGGCAATGTCTTAAAGACTTGCGTGAGAATATTTTTTTTCTTATCAGGAACTTTGTAAATGTTCAGTAATCGCAATCACGTCTGTTTTAAGGTTGGAGTTTCAAATTTCCGTCGGCAGACCATTTAGTTGTAGAAAAACGAAACATGAATCACCGTATTATATATATATATATATATATATATATAGTGTCTACGTGATAATACGAAAATCTTTTAAGAATACGGTATATGTAAAATAAAGACAGCAACATTGTCGCCAGAAAAGCGTTCATCTGATCATGACCTTGAAATCAGGTTATATTTTCAGGGTTGAAACATTCTTATCACTAACTCTAAGAATCCCCGAAGAGTTTCGAGATTCTACCAGACTCTGTCGTTTTACCATTCTCTGTGAATGTCTGATCCTGGCAGATGCAGATTCTGGTTGATCTCTTAAGTTTTTAATATATATATTTTTTCCACACATATCAATATCAATTTAGTCAATAATTCAGAGGTCAAGTTGGCAATAAATCCTCGGCTTCCTATTTAGATAGGAAATATATTGGTTTTAAAGATATTGTTCACACATGTCTTTTTACTTGTCCAACTTACGCTGATGTGCCGAGTCAGTATTTTCTCAAAAGGTATCTTTAGTTCAATAATGTAAACTTATTTCTTTTCAGAGTAACTGACCAGACCATAAGTTGAAGATGGACGTGATCAAAGTTGGAAAAACAAGAGCATGTAACAAATCTATTCACGGGACCCAAATCTCTACATCCATTTCGCAATTTATCTCAAATTGAAACATGACAATAACAGAACAGTTGCAAAAGTTCATGGCCAAGGCGACCCAAAAACTAAAAAAAATTCATTTGATTCTTAGTATAAACTTAATCTTGTAGCATATTTTGTTTGAGTTGTCGCGCAGAGAAATGCATATATATATATATATATATATATATATATATATATATATATATATATATATATATATATATATATATAGCATTTCTCTGCGTGCCTATTTATACACTATTTTCCTCATCTTTGTCGCCATATTTATTACAACGGTTTCGGACGTTGTATGCTCCGGCCTTCTTCAGGTGGTTGGAATGTAGAACTGAACCCTTTATTTCGCTCACTGAGGTAGACTTTGACCCTGTCACTGGATCTAACCAACGCCTTTATCCACTGTGGCATGTGTCCTCAAGGGACAGGACCCAAAGTGTGTGAGTTCAATACCCGGTTAAGGCAGTGGAGAAATTGCACAGGGGAATTAACAGGAGATAACTGATAACTGACATCCATGACACGTGAAACTAGAACAGTCTAAATGTAAATAGTGCACATAATAACTCATCTCAGAAATATAGACAGATACAGGCCATATATATATATATATATATATATATATATATATATATATATATAGTCGTCCGTATACATACAAGCCTATTTTGCTGTATCATAACTTATCAGTGTGGCTAGATTCCGATTGCTTCAAGCCGGTATCGAAACACAACCGATTTGGCATATCAAAGATCCTATCCCTAAGCTATCGGCGCAGGGCAGAGAAAGGGAAATTTTAACGTGTTATATATGGATGTATACAAACGCCATCAGCTAGAGGGCTCAATTAATTGATGAAGAACGGTGCGTTAATAGTGTTCCCTATAGTGCTCGATCGAATAACGAGAGCGTTACACAAACACACACACACACACACACACACACACACACACACACACATGTATATATATATATATATATATATATATATATATATATATATATATACTGCTGCGTAAAAGTAATTGAAACCCCCAATGTACTCTTCCAAAAATGGTCTCGTTTTTACAGATAATAACAATCTTAATATATATATATTCAAAGAAATATACATAAATACATATACATACATACATAAATATATATATATATATATATGTGTGTGTGTGTGTGTGTGTGTGCGTGTAAAGAAAAACCTTTATTAAACAAATTACAACCACTTTAAAAAATTTATCAAGTTGTGATAAAAATATTAATTTAAAATTATGAACTACGATGTGTAAAAGTAAGTGAACCCTTACATTTAAACTCTGTATTTTTTACATTGTTGAGAATGAAAATATTTTTTGTGCACGTGTAAAT